CATTGTCCATTTCAAGACAGCTCCTGCCTTCCTTAGCACTTGTCTTTCAAACCAAGACAGATCATCAAACCCAACTGTAAATCCAACACTGCCAAGCCCAACACTAAACCAATCCCTAAATGTCACATCTACAACACCTACTAAACCCCTCCAGGGCTGGGGATTGAACCACTTCCCTGGCCAGGCTCTTCCAGTGCTTGCCAAGCCTTTCAGTGGGGAGATTTTCCCCAACATGTCACAAGCAGAGGTGTCTCTCAGCACAGCATTTCTGCTGTTCCCACTGCTCCCTTCACTGGCACCTGTGCCTGTGGGGCAGCCCAGGGGCTCCAGGTGCCAGGGTGGAAAACCCAAGGGGTGACACTGAGGGTGTGTGAGTGCCTGCAGCAGCAGCAGGGACCATTTCTAACCCTGAAAATCTCCATCAGTGTCATGGAGCTGTGGCTTCATCCCTTCTCTGGGAAAAGGGTGTCTCCCCTGCCAGCAGGGTCGTGTCCCCAGTGAAGCAGCAAAGCCCAGCCCCAGACCTCACTGAGCCTCCCCTGGAAATGTTCTTGGCCAGGAGCAGAGGGTGAGGAGCCAGGCTGGCACAGCAGGCAGCTGGCAGCAAGGACTGCAAGAGCTCTCGTGTTCCCAGAGAATTGCATTTTTCTTGATGTTAAATGAATATACAATGGGGTGTTATAGATGTTCCTTCTACATCTTAGCCACAGTTAGAGAACTTCAGTTGTTAATGCCAAGTATAATAAAAATGTTTTCTAATCTTGATGGAGTTCTCCCTGACATCTTGTGTTTCACTGTCTTTTTTAGCTTCCAGCACTTCTTTCTATCAGGATTCTTGTTTGCCTTGGCTTTCACAGTCCCTATCCCTTTTTAGGGCTTTCTTTAATTGGTTGCAAAGTGCATTTTGACTTTTTGCTCTTCCTTTGTTTACATGTTTGTTTGTTTGTTTGTTTAGAGAAACAGTGGGGGAGTGCTTGGGGAGGATCTCTGCTTCTTCCTTCTGGTTTAATATCCTGGCCATCATTTCATATCACCTCCTCCTTTCTGTGTTGTGGAAACCTGTCAGAATCTCTGGGCAGGTGACAGCACTGCCTGACTCATGCCACGTTGCCCTGTCCTGTGTCCTTGCCTCTGATTCCTTGTAAAACAGAATAACTTGAACCTTGCAGGTTATTGGATGTACAACATCCTAAAAAGCAGCAGGTGAATCCATACAAAATAGAGGCATTTCCCTAAAATCCAAGCCAGAACTGGGTAGACACTTGCTTCTGCCAAAAGCACCAAAGCAGAAAAGTCAGAGAATTATAAAGGGGATATCAGTAAAATGTGGGTTCTCCACATCTTTGTGGAGGGTGATGATAGGGGGAAGTTTGAAAAAGTATTGTGATGAAAAATGGCTTATAAAAATTCAGTTTTATAAAATTTTTTATTAAAAGTTTCTTTAAAGTGGTCCAAATCCTTGTCTTTTCTCACTATTTCCTTCTCTAGTGCTTAAGCTGAGGAAGGTTTCAAATAGTTCAAATATTTCCAAAAGACTGGAAAACCTGAAATCATTTGCCTGAACATTTTATGTGAAAACTTTCTGGTATTTTTCCTTTTCACTGCTGCTGCCCACAGAAGCTTTACCCCTGGAATAATGATGTGTGCCCATGTAGGACCACGGCTTTACCTCCTGCAAGCTCCTAAGTCACTTCTGAGCCCAAAAATAAGGATCATTCCCTTACCTCTGGACAGGAGGCAGGGTGCCTTTTGTACTTCTCTGCAGAGGGGAAGTGAAGGGGCATTTTCCTTTGGAATGACACTGGAAAGTCTTTATGTGGACAGCAATGTGCTTACCTCAGCCATAATTTACAGGACTCCCTCTCAGAAAAGAAGAGTGTTTAATTCCCAGAGATGCTCAGACTGCCTGTACAACACGTGGGCTGCAGGACAAGTCTCCTCTTTCCCTGACAAGTCATCAGGAGATTGATTTAAAGTGCCAATAAGCATATTGGGAGGCAATAGGAAGATCAAAGGCTGCTAAATATTACAGCTGTTTTCTGAAGTATTTTGTTCACAGGGTGAGCACAGCTGATCCTCTGCTTGATGGAGCTGATGGTCACATCAAACACTGCTTCATGGGTCACTGGGGCCAAGGTGCTGGAGGTAACTTTGGTATTAGTCTTTCTTGCTAACCATCTGCCTGTCATCATCAATAACCCTCCCAATCCTTTACCATCCAGGTCCTTGCTTGATCTTCCACCAAAATTGATTGTTTGAAATGTTAAAGTCATTCATCAGCCATTACTGAAGCCAGATTTGGAGGGCAAAACAAATAATACCAACTTAAAAAAAAAAAAAAAAAAAGTTTAATGGTTTTCTTTGTAAGAAAGAGGCTGCTGAGACAACAGGAATTGCCTGAAAGTGTCCAGGGCCAGCCAACACTGCTTTAGTGTGTGTCTGAAGAGAAAAATGGGCTCTGGAAAGAAGAGAGAATAAGGAAGGAGCATTTGCAGGAGCAGACAGGTATTTATAGAGCTAATTCACCTCAACCTCTGCCTGTTGCTTTTGTCACTTGTTCTTTCCTCCTAGAGCAGGAGCACTGCTCCCTCCTTCCCTCTTCAGCTGTGACACTTGTCCTTGTCATGAGGATATCACTTGTTCCCTGCCCAGCAAACACTGCTGTGGCAAAATATCTTCAGGGAAGAGAGGGACAGCTTTAATGCCTACTTGATGTGAAGGTTTTTTATGAGCAGTGTTGCCCCTTTGGACAAGAGGATGCCATTTTTGGCTGAAGCACTCAGAGACTCAAAGGTGAGACAAACCCCCTGTCAATAGGAGGATGACACAAGTCTGAGTGAGGAGGGGACAGGAGAGGAGGCTGGCAGGTGGGGCTGGTGGGGTAGGAGACTGTGAGCAGTGAAATGAGGACAGGACATGGAGAAGCAGCACACTGCTGGTTTGGTTTCTGTTGTCTGTTTTGGTCAGGAGAAGAGTTCTGTGTTTGGGAGATAAACCAAGCCCCGAGGAGCAGGAGCTGATCCAGGCTCCATGGGTGGTGTCAGCCCTTCCCAATTGCAGAGCTGGGCCAGCCTGGTACAATGGAGTGCATTTTTGTCTGTGTTTGGACTGTAAACCTTGCCATGTGCTTTGCCCCAAGGGATGAATGCTGATTGCACTGCAATGATCTGCTCTCAGAGCAGACAGGCAGCCAGCAGGGTGTGAAACCCTCTGCTGTGCATGGGCTGCACCTTGCCATGCACTGCAGGCTGAGCGAGTTCAGCTCATTGCAGTAAATGCAATCTGCTGGGAGGGGAACATTTGGGCTGTTCAGATGCAGCTCGTGAATTTGCCAGCCCCGGTGTAATGCATCCCTGGGTAATTGTTATGGGGCTTCATTTTTTATTTGTTTATGTGTTTGTTTTTCAACTTCAGTTGGTTACTTTGAGTCAGTAGACTCAGTGGTATACACAGCCTGGATTTCTCCCAGCTTTCTTTTGGATACTTATATGAAACTGTGATTTCAAAATATCTACTGCTCTACACTCCTTTATGACAGCAACTTCTGCTATTACAGTAGTGTAATATTAGTGTACCGTAGCTACATAACTTAATTAAAAAGATGATGAGCAATTTATTTCATCCTCTGTAGCCAGGAAATAATGATGATTGGCAGTTATATTAAAAGGATGGGTTGGACTCTGACTCCTTTTGCTGCAGGTTGTAGACTTGCCAGCCCAGTTACTTTCTGCAAATAGCTGATTGTTTTTCTTGGCAATTCAGTGGCCCAGTGGGTTCTAGACATCTGGCTGCTGAATAATTCCAGATCAATTTGTGCACCTATAACAGCCCAACATGCTCAGGTTTGACAAGTGGCTGCTGCACATTGATGAGGGTGCCAGGATGGATGTCTTGGCTTGCTGTGTGTGAGCAGGCTGGTTCTGCATGCTCTTAGCTGACCTTCTTGATGCTAACAGGCCTGAGCTGGGTTAGAACTGTGTGGCAAGACTTCAGCTGCACTGTGCACACTGCTCAGGATCCCAGCTGATGGAGCAGGAATCAAAACGTTGCATCAGGACAGGCTCAATCAGTAAAATCAGTAATACCTTGACATTTTTGCTGTTGTCTTGCAGCTCTGGCTTTGTGCCTAGGTGAAAAGTGATCCAGAGCTTGCTTATCCTCCATGAACCCTGAGTGAAAATTGTCCTTGCTTAGAATGCCAGCTGTGCTTCCTAATGCGACCTTGCAGGACAGGATAAGCACACTTAATTTTGCATGCAAATGACACAGTCAAGAGATATGAATCTTTTAATGCCTGTGCAGCTCAAGTTCAAAAGCAAATTCTAGTCCCCAGAATGGGATGTGCTGCCATCTCAAAGCTGGGAGTTCACATCCATTGTGTTGAAAACCTGTCCTGTCACACTGTGGGACAAAAAACACAACCCTTGTTGTGCTCAGAAGGAAGAACAATGCTTGAACAAAGATTTTTTTCTCCTGCTGTCCTTAAGTAAGCCAAACCTCCCATCTAGAGCACATGTAAGAGATCCAGCTGAATAGAGAGCACAAGCTGCTGTCATTGTTGTGTTCTGTCTTTACAATGCCTGCTAGCCCTGGCACTCTCATTTTAGGTCCTGTCACTGGGGAGAAGCTGACATGCAGGTATGGAGGACCAGGATGTGGTGCAGGATGGATAAAGGAAGGAATCAGGAGTCCCCCTGCACCAGTCCTGTTTTTGGAGCTGGCAGAGAAACAGGCTCTCTGTGAGTACCAGCTAAAAACAGCAGTGCTGCTGTGGGAAATTCTCTCTTGTTTTATATTCCCCAAATCCACTTTTGGTGCCTCTGGAGTTGAAGGCATAAAAGCAGCTCATTAGGGGCCTTATCCAAACCCCATGGATCTCACTCAGAGTTTGTGCCAGCAATGGGACTTGGTTGAGTTTAGTTATGAGCCCGTATCTTTTCTCCACATGTATGGAGATGTGGGATGAAGCTACTGGTGAGCAGTGAGTCCTGGTGAGTCTCACTGCCTGCAGGGTTCAAAGTCCTGAGTTTCACCTCCCCCTCTCTCATAAAGGCTCATCTTTTGTTTCTCTCTGCATCCTTTAGCCAAAAAGACACTATCTCGAGTGAAAACACATTCCACTATTTTAGTTCTGCTCCTTGGAATGTTGTGACACATCCCTCAAATATCAGCTTTGTTAACTGTCAACAAATTGGTGTCCTTTCACTCCCAGTGTGCTCACTCATGGATCCTCTTGGCTCCTGCCCTTCCAGAGAGCAGCACCAAGGCTGCAGTCCAGGGAACACTCCCTGTCCTGACCTTCTGCCCCAAAATTCACCTTCTCATCACTGAACAGTGGGACAGCATCCCATCAGCTAGGAAAGCTTCCTCTCCTTCTCCAGCATCAGGAGGAAATGGCTGGCACTGAATTTATTCACCAGGCAAAAACCCAAGTTTGGCCCAGTCCCGAACCAGCCTGGTTATCCTTCCCATCCAGATTTATTTTATATCCTCATTAAAGCAAATAATGGCCTTGAACAAAACCACTTGGATGGTACTTAGGGAAAAAGCTTATCTGGGTGCCTGACCCAGCAGAGAAACTGGTGCTAATGGGGGAAACCAAAGCCTACCAAGGCAGGGGGAGGAAAACAAAACCCCAGCTTATCTCTGTTTTATCTCTAACCTCTTCACTGGTATTAGTGGCACCACATATTAGTGGCCATCTTCTTTTTTCCTCTGCCTTCACTCAGTCAGGATTGAAGCATGAGAGAAGGATTTTCGTGTTGGGACTCAGTTGTTTATTAAATCTTATCTTTAGTGCAGTGAATTCTACACAACCTTTAGCTAACAAGGTAAAAATGAGAAAATGGAGCTGTGTCCTGCTCATTACAAGGTTTTTTAAGGCCTAAATATCCAATTAAAAACTAACATCTGTATTATTTATACTTTTGACCCAATGACCAAACACTAGTGACCTGCACTGCAGTACTTTCTATCCAACCAAAAACTGCTGCCTAAAACCAAGAAGAAGGAACAAGAAGGAAGAAGAGCCAAAGCCCAAGAACATCCATCTTGTCCCATCCTATTACTGTGTTCTAAAACCCCAAATTCCAAACCCTTCATCACATGATATCACACACTTCCATTCTAACTACACCCCCAGGACTTTAACTCCATCACCCAAATTTGGAGCCTTCTCCAAGGCTTCAAGTCAAAAGCAGTGTTCTCCAGGGAGTCAGTGCAGAAAGCACAGAAAGCTCAAAACTCCCAGGCTTCAGGGTTCCAACACACTTTGACACCTGCAGAGGAGAGAAAGCCCTGGTGAGTTTTCTGCACCATCCTAGTCAGTTATGGTTGGACAAAGGTCTGAGCCTGTTTTGCTCCAGCAGATGAGCCCCAGGACCATTTTTTTCCCCCTCTCAGGTTCCCCTTGGAAGGCTGATGCCATTCCAGGCAGGGCAGTTGTGCTGGAAAAGGCTGAGGGTGGCTGTGCTCCCAGCCAGAGCTCAGGGTTTAAATCAGTGTGAGAGATCCCAGGATGTGGGTCCTTGTGATCTGGCAATTATAAACCAGTCATTTGAATCACATGATTAGAATTCAGGTAAACAGTCGGGGAATAACCAAGGCTTGTCCCCCAAATGCAGAGGCAGACACACCATTTAAGGGAAATGAGAGGGAAACAGCTTTGCTCCAGCCCAAGGCTTATCCTAAAGATACTCCAGCCCTCAGCTTGAGGCACTGGCAGAAGGAAGTTCAGCCTTGCAGGCTGCTTCACCCCATTCTGCCTGCAAAATAACAACTGTGCATCTTCACTGCTGTGCCAGAGTGTGCCAGCAGCGTGGTGCCTTTGTGATGTGCCAGTGGAGCTTTCTGCAGTAGCTCCTATGTATGCCCAAGGTCAATAAATATTCATATTAACTCTGCACTGGATCTGTACTTTCTGCTTGTTACTGAGGAGGGTAAGCAGTTGAACCAGACTTAAGAAAAAAAAAAAGCCCCTCTGAATTTTCCTGCTTAGAAATCTGAATTTTAGAAGCAGATGTACCATATCTGAATTTCTGGAGGGCCTCCAAGCAATCAGACTGACCACCATAGCACAACAGAGCAAGTGAAGGGGAACTGGGCATGCTTGTTAGTCAGCTCTGCTTTTTCACCCTCACTCTGATTATCCATCCTGCCTTTTCTCCTCTTTTGAAGGACAAAAGGTAGATTTAGGATGAATTAAGGCTTGGAGAAAATGGTTTTGGGTTGTGATGTTGGCTTGCTCTTTGTATTTTTTTTTTTATTTTAATGCCAGTCTTGCTTTTAAAGTATAGAAAATGGTGCATGGTCTCCTGCAAAGTCAGTTTACACTAAAGTCAAAGCCTTGCAAATATTCAATTAGGAGACCAGTCAAGTATGTGGGATTAAGTTGTTTATATAAATGTTTGCAGAACCAGAGTGTGAGTTCACAGGC